GGACTACTAACCGGTCACTGGTATCTGAGAAAACATCTACACAACATGGGTATATACAGCGATGACCCCATTTGCAGATTATGTAATGAGGAGGAGGAAACAGCCACTCATATCATCTTCGAATGCGAAGCAACAGCTCAATGGAGGTTTAACCTAGCGTACGAAAAAGACACAGGGAACCAAATTGCAGCAATAACAGTCAATGACTTGATGCTTCTGAGAAGAAGGATTGAGTCTATTGACTAAACTAGGGAACTGGGAAGGTACAATAAGCCAGAAGGCTGCAGTGCCCGGGGAGTGCAAACCCCGCTTCCTAGTATCCTTTTCTACCATAACATAACATAACATAACCAGCAAGGGGGAGACCTGTTAGATTAGATAAATTAATAATAAAAAAAATTCCCTTCTTCCTTGGGTCTTCCCTTTCAGGGCAAGGTCGAAGGAAGACGTTAAGCACAATAAGATCCCCTAAACTTGCATCCCATTTGAATTAGTTTAGTGGCCGTGGTCCCTCGGTATGGGGTCTCCCTTAGGTACGGCGGGGAGATGGATGGAAAAAAAAAGGTGTTTCTATTCACCATATGCAACAAAAAACATCCTTTAAACCCCTGTCCCGGACCATCTTTTCACAACTTCCGTTCGGTTCGACGAGCTGATCACTCTAGAGAATCTAGTACGACTCCCTATATATGAATATTGTTTAAAAAAAAACAAAAAAACAGGGAAATGCAAAAAACTTGTGGTTGGGAGGATTTGTTGGTGGCACGAGGACAGAAGTGACGATAGCTCAAGTGGTAGTAGCGCCGGGGTACTGATCAGGAGGTAATGGGTTCGAGTCCCGCTTACGACACTACTTTTTCAATTCGACATACTTTACATAAAAATATTAAATTGTATAAATAACTTTAAAACACTTCGTTCGTAAACACCAGACTTCGATAACCTCCACAATCGACTTAGTTGTGTGATAAACAAAATATCAACGTAATGATTTTTTTTTGCCCATCCACCGCCCCGCCGTCCCTGAGGGAGACCCCATACCGGCGGACCTCGGCCTCTAGACTGACTTATTTTCTTGTATGGGGGAAAATGGAAGCATAACGCCTTCCTTATGCCTCGCTCTAAACTCTTCCTCGTGGTTAGGGGAATATATATTTTTCCTCTCTGTATTACTTAAATTGACCTAATCTAATAGGTCTCCCCCTTGCTGGTTACTCCTTTTCGCACAGTAATATCATACAATCATTACATAAAATTACAAAATTAAAATTATAAAAACTATATAAAATTACAAAACAATATAAATATACTAATTTAAGCAATAAAGAACAATCACAGTTATAGGTACTATATAACAATGTTAACTTATTTTTAAAGAAGTAACCAGCCCGGAATTATCTGTACTAAGGTTATACACTTAAATATATCACAGTTTAATCACAGGTTGCTTAGAATTTTTTTTTCAGGTACGTGGTTTACTACCCGCTAGGATGCTCTGTGTAAGCTGTTTGAA